ATAAACGTCGAACTTTTAATGTAAAATTTGTTGATTTTAATGTATCACCTTTTGCTCGACAATAAAAACCAATAATAGACACACCAGCACATAATGAAGATGTTATTTCAATAATTTTTGCCCATAAGTCTTTATTTGTTGATGATGAATCAAAAAATGAATCTATATCAGTTTGTTTTGATGTAATACCATCAATTGTATAATGAATATAATCTCGTTCTGATTTCGTACATTGACCACAAAGAAATCCAAAAGAAAATCGACTTGTTGAGAGTGAATTTAATTGAGAAGTAACTACATCTGTTTCAATAAAAACAGTTCGACCCATATTTTCAAAAACAAACAAAATAAAAACAATCTAAAAATTCGAAAGAATATTTTTTTTTATTTACATAAAACATATATTTATTGATATTTATATCTGACAATTAAGAAAAAAAAGACGAAAGATTTTCATTATGTGTTTCTTGATGTAAATTAGTATTATCATCTGAATGAAAAAGATCATCATCGTCGTCATCATCATCATTAATATTCATTGCATTTGTTGGATTTTGTAATGAATGATGTACTAGATCATCTTCATTTTCAGATGGAATTTGTTGTACTTTCGGTGGCATATTTAAATCAAATTTACACATTTGAATATGTTTTTTAAGTAATTCAGTTTTTGATTTTAATTCATTGTCAAGTCTGTCGAGTTCAGTACGTTGATCATCAAGTGTTGTATCAATACCTTCAACTCGTGAGATCATATCTTGACAAGATTCAAATTGTTTTCGTAGTTCATCTAATTTAGCTTTGAATTCATTGGGATTTTTATCGAAACTTAAATTAAAAAAAAACAAAATTCAATAGAAAAATTAATTTTGCTTTTAATGTACCTCTTGAGAATATCTCCAAGACGAGGTAAAAAAAGAAATAAATCCTCATCGAATTGTACTGAATTTTTAGTCGTTGTACTAGATGATGTCGTTGTTGGAGCATCAGCTGAATAATTAATTGGTTGTTGTTGTTGTGATTGATTTGAAGAAGAAGAAGCCATCTAAATATGTAATAGTAGAATAAAGAAAAACGATCTGAATAATTTATATTATCCATAAACACAATGAGATATTTATTTTTTTTATGTTTAAAACAAAACAATAACAACAATAAGAACAAAAACAACAAATAAAATGTTTTTAATGTTTGAATGAAGTTGGAATGCTTTGTTAAATGGATTTGTTCTATTTGCTGCGTTCACGCATACGACGACGTTTACGTTTCAATCGACGCATTCGTTTCTTACGCCACTAAAAAAAATACAATAAATAGGTTATTAAATTTTATTGAAATAAAAATCTTTTATACCTTGGCTCGCATGATTTATATGATAAATAATAGAAACTGGAGTGACCAATATAATGTGAATGTAATAATAAAATGATCGTATGTTGTTCTTCTCAAGTATAGATTTATCTCGCATTTTTAATGGTACATTAGAAAACCAGTGATTGACAATATTTAAAATAATAATGATAGAGAACTTTTGAAATATAATTATTTCAGTAATATAAAAAAAGATTAATGAATTAAGAAAGTAGTTTTTCATAAAAATTGTTCACAAAAGAAAAACAATTGTTTCGTTAACAAACATAGATGTCGCCTATATACTGCAGCGAAATATAGAAACGTTATATATAAACCTGTAAAAGGCATATCTAAAAAGAAATATTTCATATTAATGTTCTTGTTCTTTAACAAAGAACACACAACGGAACAAAACAAAACAACACAAAAAAAAAATTTAAGAAAACATTTATCTGTACATCATCGATCGTTTTATTGTTTGATATGCTAAAAAAAACAAAAAAATATATATAGAATCAGGTTACTTAACTTAACTACTATAGACTAGTACTCGATTATATCAGTGCAACGAATAACTTGTTCACAAATATCAACTCATAGATTGAACTTACTACATGTTTTCTTTGATCTTCAGTTACTGAATCAATATATTTAACAATTTCACGTATTTTATTTCCAAGTTTTGGCATTGGTTTATTTTTATTTAATTTTTTAATTTTTCTTATTTTCATTTCTGCCATTGGTGAATCCATATGATGAACATCAATAAGATGATTTTTAAGTGCTGCAACTGGCAACCAATATTGATTTGAACATTCAGCACGAAATGGACAAAGAAAACTTCGATATGGATCAGCAACTTGGACATTATCTTTAATTAAACATATTGTAGCTGGTATATTTGCATCAACAGCTCGTGAAATAATATTAGCAAATGGTGTTAATAAACCATGATATTGACGTATATGATTACTTAAATCTGTGTAATCTTTTCTTCGACATAAACGAATAGAATGATATTTTTTATTAAGACCATAAGCACCATTCACCCATAATGGACATGCGCCAGCAATTCGAGGACTTGGTACAGTTGGAATCTAGAAAGGATATAGAATATTTTACAAACAAGAATTTAGGTATATTCTTTTTACGATATCATGATCATTATCATCATTATTAGCAATAATTGGTTCACTAGAAAATATACATAATGAAAGATATTATTTCTTTTTTACAAGAACTACAATACTTTTCTGATTCATCGTTTGTGATTTTATTTTCATTACCTAAAAATATATCTATCATATTGATTTTAATAATATCAAACTACTTTTTCGTTTATGATAATCAGTATCTATAATTAAACTATGAAAATAAAAATTAAAAACTAAGATAAAAAAATCGAAATAGATAAAAACTTACTTTTGTAATCGATCAAAACCTATATATAATGATTCATCTTCTAAAAAATTTCAATAATAGATTCTTATATAAAAGTATAACAAGAAACAACTGTACTTTGTGAATTCATTGTTAATTCTGCATTTTCTTCAATTGGTTCAACTTTAACGATAGCTAATAAAATATATCATGATTTAAAATTAATTATGATAAGAAAGCATATACATTTTCTCTTCTTCTTTTAGTATTCAAGTAGTAATAGAGAGGATAAAACAAACAGTACAATAATACTCGCAAAGATCAAGAAAATTCTTACTTAATGATTCATCCGATTGTTTTTGTTTTTCATGGATCATTTTTTTTAATTTTTCAATAGTTGATCGAAATTGTTCAACATCATTATAATTATGATCCAATAAAGTATTAACTTCAATAACTAATCTTTTATAATCATCTAATTTTTGTTCATATTCATAACGAATTTTATTTTCATCAACTAATGATGAATAAATGGAATAAAGTCGTTTAAGTTCTAATTGATGACCTTCTAAGTGTTTTTTATTGCGCTCAAATAAACGATCATGTTCAATCAAATGTTGCAGACAAACCATTTTCATACAGTGATGTGCACAATCGAATAAACGGACAGCCGTTTGATTGCATGTCGGCTCACTACATTGACCAAAGTCAGGCATGATAATTATTTAAAATGAATCAAATATGCACTCGTTAAGAAAAATGGGGAAAAATCTAGGACAAAAATCAGACGAAAAGAAACGAGAAGATAATTGTGTTGCGTCTATATGAATAGAACAAATAAAAGAACGAACAATTTGAACCCTCCAATAGAATTAACGGATGCGACAGAATAAATGAGCTTCTCAGTTTTCGGCATATATATTATGAGATTATATCTGGTTAACACTTCAATGCTCGAAAATGAACTACTTTCAAATCCATATTTTTATAAAAGTAATTATTTTAGTTCTCCTAGTGAGACAGATTTGTGAGGCTTTAGCGTGCCACTTTCCTTGAAAACGAGTCGGAACCATCGATAGTTCTCGTTATACACGTCATGCGTTGCAGAAAAGCAGACCATTTTCGAATATTGAAGGGTTGATCAGATGTAATTTCATAGTTACTTGTTCAAGATTTCGCTGTTATGTAACATTTTTTATTATTCATTTACTGCGAAGTTTTATTTAGAGGAATGGATGTACGAAGAAATACAAAAAGTACGATGAAGTATAAGAAGTATCAACGTGTGCGTTTTACTACCTTATGTAACCGCTATGTTTTCATCGTTTTTCTTTTCTCTGTTCTGTATGGCGATGATGCAAAATAATAATATTACCGTTCTCTTTTTTTACACTCATTAAAGATTTTTCAATCGTCGCATAACAGGTCTGATGTGAATGCTGTTGCTACTTCGAACACACAAATATTATCTTCTTTAAAACCACCTCTACATGTCGTCGTAGGTGGTGGTACATCTGGTATTGGTCGTGGAATTGCTCTTGCATACCGCAAACATTGTCCGGACGCTCATGTGACAATTATTGGACGTAATCAATCTGCTGCCGATGAAATTCTATCTCAGTTAGGTCCGAATGGAAATTTTATACGTGCCGATCTTTCACTGATGTCTGAAATTCGAAGAATTACTAAGGAAATTAATGCAGTTGACGTACTCATTTTATCTCAAGGTATATTAAATTTCACTGGTCGTACACCAACCACAGAGAATATTGATGATAAAGCGGCTGTAGCTTATTATGGTCGAGTTTTATTTGTCAAAGAACTTCTACCATTACTTCGATCATCTTCACATGGTGGTAAAGTTCTTTTTGTTATGAATAGTAAAAGAGGTAATGTATCGAAAATCAAATGGAATGATATGGCACTCGAAAAAAATTATTCACTTATGGCAGCTTTTAATCATGGTATGGCATATACTGATCTTGTCATTCAATATCTTGCTTCTCAATCAGAAAATGCCAATGTTAGTTTTATACATGCATATCCAGGTGGTGTTAGAACTCCTATAGGTAATGGTTTACCTTTTTATCTTCGACTACCTGCAAAAGTTTGGAGCGCCCTTGGTGGGGGTGTCAGTCCTGAAGAGTGTGCGGAATTTATGATACATGGCATATTAGGAACAAAGACAGGTTGGAGATGTATCGATGAGAAAGGTGAAACTGTCCCAAATAAGGAAGTATCAGATGAAGAAATGTTAAAGAAAGTTTGGGAACATACTTGTGAAATCACTTCTCGTACTGCTCAATTATGAATAAACAATATTTATTATACTTTTAACTTTTTTTTTCAATCTTACTCAGAAATAAATCATTCTATTGCTTTCGATTCATCCTTTTCTGTCATAAAAAGGGTGAACATGCGCGCATGAGCAAAGATTTGGAAAGTATAGTCATCTTTCATCTATACCCACATTTTTAAAATCAATTTTCACGAGTTTGATTATGTTTTAATAGAAGCTTTGCTACTAATTGATAAGATTACGGGTCTCACTTTATCTTTATCTTTACTTTATAGACAAAGATAAAGTAAATCTTTATATTTATAAAATAAAGATAAAAATAATCTCCATTTGCAGAAATAAAGTTAAAATAAAGAATAAATATATATTTTTTCATGCAGTAAGTACATCTGCAAACACCTTGTATAACAACAGAATGCATTTATTAATGCTCTTTCTTATCATTATCATCATTCTCATATGCTATATTATAATTAACTATAGAATATCAGAATTTTTTGTGAGCTACTCTAAAAAAATAAAACTGTACGTCTCGATAGAAAAAAAACTCTTTATATTTATTTTATTAAGATAAAGTAAATCTTTGTCTTTGTTTCTTTATCTTTATCCCTTATTATAAAGTAAAATAAAGATCAAATAACACCACTAAAAATCAAAGATTTTTCTATAAAATTAAAAAAAAGAAAAGGATAATTTCGAATTTAAATTTCATTCTATGATTTTGGAAATAATGAAATTCAATGTAAATATAAAATTAAATCGTCAATTTTGTTCATTAATCAAATCTGAAATCGATGCTCTGTCTTATCTACGACGAAACCTTTTCTAGAGCATTATTTTTTCTCTTAGTGCTATTTTGGAAGAAATAAATGAGAGAAAAAGAGAAAGAGAGACATATAAGTAGAAAGTAAATCTACAACGAGTGTCATTTTGTTTTCATCGAAGACAAAGTAGGAGACGAAGAAGAAGAAGATTATTTTATTAGTTAACTACTTTATCAAAAAAACTCTTGCTGAATGATGTGGAATATCTGCATATTTATCACTATTCTTCTGCTGATTCTCAACAATGAAATATCAGGTAAATACTTTTATTTATCGCATACTCAAGGCCAGCTATTGCACATAAATGACATTATTCGTTAGAGCTTTAGTTGAACAAAAAGCAGTCAAATAATAGATTATAGAATTTGACAGAAATTTCTGTTATATATTCAAAAGTGATGGTTCTCATTTCTTTTAGACTCTAGTCTACAGTGTGGGTGTGGCAATTGCAGGTTCTATCCTTTTCACTCTCACTCATATTTTCATCCACGCTCTTTATTCTAAACAATTCTTTTTTCCTCCTTCGAATTCATTTTCGTTGAGCAAATAAAAAGAATTATTTGATTATTTTTTGTTTTTAATGACTCTCTTAGTTCATATGTACAAATCATCGGAGAAAATAGAATAACAATCATAGAAATCTTTTCAAGCTTAACCTCAATGAGTTTTTCCAAAGAAAAATATAAATTAACAATTTCATTTCATTTACAGTTCTTGTCTAATATTCTTTATACTTTTCCGGTTCTTAGCTCTTTCGTTCAATCAACCAAAGTTTTCCTCAACACCCATTTGGAATTCCAATGGAATTACCTTAGCCAATCAATCGATCGTTGGGCAACATCCTCGCGCTATTTTTGTGAACACAAACAACACAATCTATGTGGCTAATGGAGATGATAATACAATTGTAATATGGGAAGAAGAAAATGTGAATCCAACAAAGATCATTCCTGGTAATTTCACGGCACCCTTGTCTCTCTTCGTGACATCGAATGGTGATATTTATATTGGTGATGGTGATGACAATGGTCGAGTGCAGAGATGGAGTGCAGAAACAAGTATCTTTGTCACAGTGATGAATATCAACTCATCATGTTTTGGTTTATTTGTTGATATCAATGATACTCTTTACTGCTCAATGCCTCATGAGTGTCAAGTAGTGAAAAGATCATTAAATGATGCTGTTATGACTTCAAATCGTGTTGCTGCTGGAACAGGTATTGCAGGATTAGCTTCAAATCAACTCAATTATCCTCTTGGAATCTTTGTTGATGAGAATTTGGATTTATATGTGACGGATTGTGGAAATGATCGAGTACAGTTGTTTCAGTCAGGAGAATCAAATGGCATCACAGTAGCCGGAAGTACATCACTCAATCCAACAATTACACTTAATTGCCCAAGTGGAATTATATTAGATGCTGAGAAATATTTATTCATTGCGGATAATAACAATAATCGTATCGTTGGTTCAGGTTTGAATGGTTTTCGATGTTTAGTTGGATGTAATGGATGGGGTTCACAATCCAATCAATTAGATGGTTCATTTAGTTTGAGTTTTGATCGTTTTGGAAACATGTTTGTTACTGATCAATCAAATCATCGAATTCAAAAATTTTTACTGATGAAAGATTCTTTTGGTAAGTTTAAGAAAAGTTGAATGAAATGAAGAGATGTGAATAGATAATTAACAAAAGCTAATAAAGATATTTCAATATAAAAAAGGAAAGAAAACAAAAATGATTGACAAAGATTAATTCAGGCAATGTGTAAAAGAATATGTGTAGGGAAATGAAATGTTCAAATTAGACAAAGCTATGTGTCAATTGTCTGACACAAACAACCTTCGCCTTTTTGTTGAGATTAAAGAATAGAGAACGAACAAGTTCGGTCCGTAATGGAGTGTTAGAAAGGGTTTTCATGTTTTATTTCATCAATGAAACAATTTTGATCGAAATAAAATCTCTTAATATTTTTGTCGATCTAGTCTTAATATAAATTATTCTATGATTTGACTTCATATTTCATTCACGTATGTGAGGGTGTGGGTGTGAAAATGTAACTCATTCATCACTCATACCCACCCACATCCACCTCTCAAATCTATTCTAGATTGTACTTATTTGAAAATTTTTCATAAATTAACTGACAAAGTTTTGTTTATATCTCCAAAATTCAATGAGAAAAAGTTTTTCTGATTGATAAAAGATTTGTTAGTTTTACAAATATTTAGTTGACTTTTTCTTGAAGACGTGTAGCCAATAATTGTTTTCCTTTTAAGAGAATTATTTATTTTTTTCACATGAAAATAAAGCGTTGCTGATTTTGTTCTATATTTCATAGGAAAGATATCGAAATCTGTAAAATACTATTAAGATTACAAAGAAAGATTTGTTTTATTTATATTAAACAAAATCAAAATATTGTAGTCTTTGATGAACCCTTGAAATTTCTTGAGATAAAAAGCCTTCGAGCGACAATTTGTACAAAGAGCATTTGCAGAGAGATAAAAAGGCTTTTTGTAGATCATAATAGATGGTATTTTTTCCCTCATTTTTATTTTCTTTTTCGTTCAGTACTGATATAACGTGTAGTGACATTATTTTTCATTTCCTAATGAAATTCTATAAGGTAAATCTAGTTATATTTCCAATAATATAGACAACTAAGATAACCATAGTGGTATTTATAGTTTTTCCCTGACTTCTTCTCTGACTTGACTTTAAATTTTTACCAAAAGAAAATTTTAGAAACTTTGCATAAATTTTTCAGCGATAGACCTGCAATGACATATCTGCAGAATTATTTCTAAAAAACATCAGTTTTTAAATTAAAAGTCACTTCAGAAGAGCATATAAGATGCTCAGCATTGAAATAAATAAATTCTTTTATTTGACCATCTTCTTTTCTGCAACTTATTCAGATTTTCATAAAATCTTTCAACAAAAGTTAAACAAAGAAATTTTAACAACATTACAATTCATATTTTATATCAAAACTAATAAGAATCATTCCCATAATCAATGTTAACAAACATTTCTAAATATCTTTTTTATCAAAAATTTCTTTGAAAAAACTTTATTTTTCTTCGACGAATATAGAAGTCAATAATTTCGTTTCCGTTCCAGTTCTTCTCTAATATTCTACTTTTCTCGTTTTTAGCTCTTTCATTCAATCAACCAAAGTTTTGTCCAACAGCTACTTGGAATTCCAATGGAATTACGTTTGCTAATCAATCAATTATTAGTGAAGATCCTCGTGCTATTTTTGTGAACACAAACAACACAATCTATGTCGCTAATGGAGACAATAACACAATTCTAATATGGCAAGAAGAGAATATCGATCCGACAATGGTTATTCACGGTAATTTTGCAGAATCCTTGTCTCTCTTCGTGACATCAAATGGTGATATTTATATTGGTGATGGTGATGACAATGGTCGAGTGCAGAGATGGAGTGTAGAAACAAGTATCTTTGTCATAGTGATGAATGTGAGTTCATCATGTTATGGTTTGTTTATCGATATCAAGAATACTCTTTACTGTTCAATGGCTAATCATCATCAAGTAGTGAAGAGGTCATTAAATGATCCTCTGACGACTTCAAATCGTGTTGCTGCTGGAACAGGTGTCGAAGGATCAGACTCGAATCAATTCGATGGTCCTCTTGGAATCTTTGTCGATGTGAATTTGGATTTATATGTGACGGATTGTCGAAATAATCGAGTTCAGTTGTTCCAGTCAGGAGAATTAAATGGTACCACAGTGGCTGGAAGTGGTTCACTCAATCCAACAATTACACTTAGTTGCCCAAGTGGAATCATATTGGATGCTGAGAAATATTTATTCATTGTGGACTATGGCAATAATCGTATCGTTGGTTCAGGTTTGAATGGTTTTCGATGTTTAGTTGGATGTTATGGAGAAGGTTCACAATCCAATCAATTAATTTATCCATTTAGTTTTAGTTTCGACAGTTATGGAAATATATTTGTTACCGATCAAGTAAATCATCGAATTCAAAAATTTCGATATTTGGAAGAATCATGTGGTAAGTTTAGAATGATTGAATGAGATGATGAGATGTGAATGTTAACAATGAAAAGCTGTATGGTTTTTGTTAGAAGAAACTGAGGTTCGAAATAAAAGAAAATATCGTACATGAAGCTTCTTTGATCTAAAAAAATAAAACTGTATAAATGAAACAATTCATTAATTTGATAATTTCAATGTAAATTAAGTAAGTTCAGTTAAAAGACGAAATTTCAATTGGTTATAGATATTCTTCTTTTAAACATTCTCATCTCTCAAAATGTGAAGATAACTATCAGATCAGAAAAATCATCAAAGATTTTTATTGTTATTCAAAGAATAAAATAGAACTTCTTATATGTTACGCAGAAACTATCTGATCAATGTGAACAATATTATGTTTTATTTGATTGATTGCGAAAAAGATCCCCAGTTAAATCTAATCATTTAAAAGTTTCTCTCTCTTTTCACTGATCAGATTTTGTTTCGAATTTTTAAGTTTCATATAAAAGCGAAACATTACTATGCATATCGATCAGAGAATTTTATTAGATTCTCTTCGACACTGTTAGACGTACACAATGGTCTTTCTTTTCAAAATGTCGAGAGACAGATAATACTACTAAATAAATTGAGGGTGTGAGTGTTGACAATGTATTCGACTGGTACCTGCACTCACACTCTCAAGAATTCTTCACTTTTGACTTTAATTTTTATTTTTAGGTCTGACGACAACAACAGCTATGATAACAGCAACAACGACAATAACACCAATGAAAACAACAACAGCAACGACAACAACAGAAACAATGAAAACAACAGCAACGACAACAACGGGGAGAACAACAGTATCAGCAACAGCGATGACAGCAACAACACTATCAACAACAGTAACAACGATGACAACAACAACAATGTCAGCAACAACGATGACAACAACAACAATATCAACAACAACGACGACGACGACGACGACGGTAACAACAACAAGCAGTTCAGGTGCTGTAACAACAACGACGACGACGGTAACAACAACATCAGCGACGACAACAACAAGCAATTCAGGTGCTGTAACAACATGGTTCTCGTCTAAATTTGGGCAATTTGGATTCTTTGTACCAACTGCTCTTGTTTATTTAATCTATATTCAGAATTAGCATATGACGATAAAAAAATCTTTTCTTTTGAAAAACATTTAATATTTATAATTAAGCACTAACTCTTTCTTTTTTCTTTATGTTTTATTAAGTTTTCGTTTGTCTTATCTTTACTGCATACTAACAAAAGCTTTCAATTCAACTGTGATTTTCTGAATTATAATAAAACTATCTTCATTCAATCGTTCTTCTTTAAACTTATTAAACAATGTGTATATACATCTTGCATAATCATATATACAGTGGATAGAAAAATAATCGGTATAGATCTTAAGAGTGTGGGTGCACGTGAGGATAAAGAAAAGACGAATCTCACTTACACCCTTAACATCTCATATTTCATTGGTATCTATGCAAAAAACTTGATATTATTGATCTTAAATGTAAATTAATAAATGAAAATTCTTTATTAATTTTTGTAAAATATCAGAACCAAGTTTCTTATCATTTCTTCTTCGAAATTCAGATTCGATGTTAATCATTGAAGATACTCTACATCAACATATCATTTGTACATTTAATTGTGATGTTTAAACTATTGATCCAAAATTTCTATGCGAAGGACAATTAGTTATCGGATATAAATTTGACAAATCTTGGTATCGATAGTAGTGATATTCCAAAAGTTAATCAGTTTGGCTGAAACTTGTGCTAGAATTGTCGAGAACGATCTTTAACACAGAATGTTCATAGTGCGACAACAAGCAAATGAGTACTGAGAGATAAAAATTCACAATTAGAAAATTTGCTCCATTTTTATCCATAGTTGAATGAAAGTGAAAATAAAATATACTTTTTTTTTTTGGTTTATTTATTTTTTAGTTGAAACATAGCAATGACAGGAAAATGATCAGACGAATAACTTTGTGAGCGAATATCAATCACAGAGATAAATTTAGGTTGTAAATATTGAGTTTTATCTAAAGAATTTTGATATAAAATCCAATCAACATGAAATCGATGTGAAGACCATATGGATATCATTTCTGATGGATTGATCAGATGAGAATAGCTTGTAAATTTTTTCAAAACATCAATATACGACGAAGAATTTTTTGGAATCCCATGTGGTAAAATAACACCCAAACCATGATAACTAAATCCAATTGTTTGCAATAATTGAAGACCATAAGTATTGATTATTGAACCAAGCCAACCATGAAATGTTGATGAAAATGTGTTAGATACACATGTTGATGGATGAGTTTTACAAATTGTCCAAGTATCGTAGAGGAAATCAGATGATGTTAAGATGTTATAAGTTGTTTGTTGTGGAATACTATTGAAATCACCAAGTAATAGAACAACATCTGTCGGATATTTTCTTTGCCATTCATTGATTGTTGAACGAACAACTTTTGCTTGTTCTTGACGAGCTTGTTCACTTTTTGCATCTAAATGTGTATTAAAAACAAGTAAGTTTATTGATTCATTGGATAATAATTGAAAACGTGCAATATTTAATGTTCGAATTGCATGACTATTCCAATCTTTACTTCCAACAGTTCGAGGTGTTTTCGATAACCAAAGATAATCTTGATCTAATAATTTCAATATTTGATTATTGTATAAAATTGCTACTTGAAAATCGAGTTTAGATGATGAATATGGAGAACCAATCGATTGATAATAACTTGGTAAATGAAATTGCCAATGTTGAAATTGATCAGTTAATGGTTCTTGTACACATAGAATAGTTGGTTGCCATTTTTCAATTATTTTAGTTAAACGGTGGATTCTTTCTTTAAAATTATTCTCTGGATTATGCTCAACAATATCGACACGAATATTAAATGTCATAATAGACAATAGATCATGTTTGAGAAATAAATATTTTTGTAACATATTGAAATCATCTTGCTCAGTATAACGAGGGAATGTGAATAGGAAAGCGAGGAAAATGGGAATTAAAATTGTAAAAAATATAAACCATTTATGCTTCATGACAAAATATCATTGAGAATACGAATGCAATGTGCATTAGATACTCTTACTCATTTGTGCGCTAGCGCCAGATGTCTTTGTTCTATTGGTTTTAAAGTGTACAATAACCGTAAACTAGAGGCCTCTATTTGTTAAGAAAAGCCAAAATTTATTGAACGATATAGACAGTATCAATCAAAAAAAAGGATATGAATATTTCGGATTGCTACGTTTGAAAAAACTAATTATATTTGACTACGTTTAATAATCAAAACTATATATAATGAGATGATTGAGCTTTACTATCTGCATAGGTTTTCTATAAATGTATAAATAGTATATGAATATTTCATCAATGAATAAAGAAACATAACTGCTGAAAATTTGGAACTTATACTTCTTAGCCATAATGCTTTTAACATGCAGTTACCAGGCTCTGGGCATAATTCTTCAATAACTTGTTGAAAGTATTATGACTTCTAGAGTAGTATCAGTCGATAGCTTTTGAGTATGTCTATTATTGGTTCGTTTGCATGAATCAAACAACTAACTGCCAACGTAAAGTTCTGCTTACAAATGCTTGTTTTTTTTAAGTCAAATCATAATGATTTTCTCTGTGATAAATTATATGATTAAGTTAGATGAAGCTTACTATCACATCAGAAAGTATTTTCTATATAAAAGGCTCTATTTTCATCTTACACGTTCGTGAAACTTATCTGAAGTCTTTCTGTAGATAATAATCCTAACTATATTGATGAAAATGTGTTTTTGCAAGTGTATGTCAAAGGTTGCATTTTCATCTCAAACACTGATCAAACTGATTTAAAATATTCCTATGGTTAGTAATTGAATAGTTATATCAAAAAAAGATTGCTTATATTAAAACTGAAATTTTTATCTCAAAAATTTGCGGATTGACTTACTACTGAATGTATGTTACATAACCGTTCCACAGACTATGAGGAGTCCATCAATCGAATTAAGAAAAACATATTGTTTTAAAGTATTCTAATTTTTAGTTTTCATCATAAAATATAATGTCATTTTACATGTCATCGTTGTGTGTCATGCTATGATCGTTAGCATATCTGACCTGTATTTCATATGATATACCCGTTTTAATCAATAAGTTTTTCATGACAGAAAGTATAGTTCATTTTATATTTTGATAACATTATTAATTGAAAAGATATGTTGAAATATTGTAAATAAACAATGTAGGAAAAATAATTGACAAATATGGCGTTTGCCTTTTTTTGATTAATTATTAGTTATCGAGAAACAATAATTTATCACAGAGATTATTCAGAAATTGACTGCCTAGTGTTTTGGCCATTTTGGATCGTATTCTGTATTCAAATATGATTTCTTGACCCTTCCCTTTTCAAATATTTTAATCTACTGATAGAAATTGGAAATTTTGTCGTGAAATCAAGAAGGAAAGAACTAAATTCAGAGTTCTTTAATCAAGTTTATTAAGCTGATTTTTTTAATTAAATAATTGAGGGTGAACACTTGAATCATTTCACTTTCTGTCAACTTGGCACTAAAAAATTTGATCTAGTAGAAAACTAGTTTAGTCAGCAACGTCATAAAATCAAGACATTCGTGATATAGAAAACATTGCTTTTTTTAAAAAATTATTATGATAGGCATCTTTTTTTGAGTGCATGAATCATTCTCTGTTTAACAATCAAGCTCTCTATATAGGCTTATCTTATAAGAAAAAAGCTTAAATTGAGGAACAAAATGTTCAGATGCTTTTAAATACATGATTTCTTTAAATTATTTTTATTGAATTGATTTCTTTTTATTTGAATTCGGAAATAAGTTTTAAATAAGAGGCTTTTTTCCTCCATGAAATTCAAATGCTGTGGTTACAAGATCAGTTAATTTAATTTCCTTGAATGCTATCACCATTACTTATAGACTCTCTCTTTCTCTCTTTGTGTATGGATATACTATTGACTGTTTTGTTCCCCATTCTTATTATTCATTGCCGTGTCGTTTACTTTGTTGAAATATTATTATTATTATTATTATTATTCTGTAATTTTTCGGTTCTTGGTGATCACGCTTCTTCTTTATTATTCATCTTCTCTGTGACCGTTGGTGTCAGTCACCTACATATTCATCTTCGTATTTCTCTCGTATGTTCATCATTCTACTGAGCACATTTCATGGATTTTGATTCACTCAACACTCATCATATTATTATTTCATCACCTAACTCTTTACTGATATATTAGATTTTACATTGTCGATCTGCAACATTGCAAATATTTCCAACAAAAATCTATGTAGTGAGTGATGGAAACGTTTACATAATATTTTTTTAAAATTTCTGTTAAGAATTTATTTGGATCGAAAGAGAGAAATAATAAAAATCATCTTTATTCCGTATGTATCATCACAATTAGAATCTATTTTGATCATCATTATTATCATGATCACTAAGATCGACATATTCATCATCAAATTGAGAATCGATTGCTTGATTTTCTTCTTCCAAAATCAAAGTCTCAAAGATACAGTAATTTTGAAACTTTGAAGGTTCTTTTATCTTCGCCTCCAAAGTACTACCAATGACCAGACCTGTTTGAGTTGAATCTTGAGCTAGCTATTCACAGCTTTTCAGATGAAATAATAAATTGTGAATAAAGCCGATGTTGGATAAGAAAAACTTTTCAAAGACAACTTAAAATCAGTTAAATACGAGAAAGTCTGCTCTGCCACGCTGGTATTGATATTCATGAAGTTGATTTTGTTTTGCTCTGCGTCAGGATTGAATAAGGTCTTACAAAGTTCACCTTTGTGCACGGTATTGCGAAAACGATCACAGACTACAGTCATATTCATCAATTGTTGGGAATAAGGCGTATTTTTCATGTACTCTCCATTGAATCGATACTTCCAAAATTTGTGTAGCTGGCACGCTGCGTCATACAGCAGCAGTGATGGTATTTTCGTACCAAGCTTCAACATGGTTACTAAATGGTCAGTGATTTTTCGGAGACCCTCGTGATTGACTGAATCTGAAAAACCAATTATTATGCCGCAATTCAAAAAAGAAGCAATAAATCCCATAGATCTTTTCTTCATTTCAAACAATTATTTGCTTCATATCGTTCCTACCCACATTACATTGAGCTTCTTGTTGATCGAGTTGTTTGAGATAATTCAAATAATTTTTTATTTCATCATCAGACATTTCAGTTTCCATAGACTTTGTTTCGTTTTGCTTTGTTCGATGATGGTCACAATAATAACTACCAAGATCTGTAGATAAGGACAAAACTTATATTTATATTAATTATCAAATCAAACATAGTTATTAATCTATTCCTCAAAAATATTTTTTACAACTATGTTTCTTTAGTTTTCTAATTATTTGTATTTTTTAAATCTTGATGATATTTCTCATGCTTTTATCATGAATATTTCAATACGTGAACCAATAGATTTATTTACCGTTTATTATTCTATCTTCTGATTTTCGTCTACGTGGTATATATGGACAACCTTTATTGACTGGACCTAATTCATCAATATTAAAAAGACTTGTGACATTATCATACTTGCACACCAGCCGCCTACTGCAATAAACAAAAAAAAGCTGGTCGTGATGTATAATCAAGAAAAAAGCCATCACTCATTGTAAGTTATTCAACAATATAAAACTAATATTCGATCAATGGCTAAAAATTTAGAGAGCATCGTGATTTTTTATTCATAGTGTCAGTCACTTAGAAAAATACTAACATGAAATTAGTTACATTCGACTTACGGCTTTTGATGGCCATCAATAGTAATCGTGCGAGAACATCCACCACTACATTGACATTCTCCAAATATTTCTTTATGATGAGACCAGAAAACGGTGAACAGATGGTAAAACCAGTCCAGATTTCTTTCAATGGAAATAGCACGTGTGGACTGTTCACCTCGTATCTTAGTTCGGCCCTCACACATTGCATACGGGAAAATCGTTTCACTGAATTTATTGGTCATAAAGATAAAATTTGCCAGTTCATAGTAAAGCCACACTGATTGTAGATTTCGAGACAATGCTTCCGGTGAAAAATCGTTCATATCTAAACGCCGAAGTTTGTTGAGAACTTTAGTAATAGCAGAGCCAAAACCACCGAAAGTCGCATAGTCGTCAATTAAAAGACAAGAAAATAAGATCAAAATCTTCTTAGAGAAGACCAATGCTCCGGAGAAATGCACGAATTCAGAACATTGTGATTTTGTGTTAACCATTGTTGATTTCTGATCCATTAAATAAATAGATGATAGTCTATGTGATCGTTGACATTGATGGCAGTCTGCTTTATAGAGCAAGCATGGTTGAATTTTGGTACAATATATAATATTAGCACAACTTTGAAATATAGTTTTCAATTGTGTACCACAGGAACTACACATTGTTTGATATGGTAGAAGCAAAAGTGGACTAAATCTTTTGCCAAACATTGATTGAGGTTGTAGTTTTTTATACTCGTTTACATAATATTGTATTGTATCAATATCCAAATCAATATTGAATTGCTCTTTTGTATAATGATGTCCCATTAAAATGTTATGTGCTATAAGTATCTCATTAGAAGAGTACATAATACCAGTTTCTTGCTTTACAATAAATGAAATGAAATCCAATTTTCTTCATTGGTGCTAGTAGGTGGTAATGGATATACATAACTACCTGGTACTAGATTTTCTATATTTATGATCATAATCGTCGCTTTGAAAGATCTTTTATTTTCATCAGGAAATGCTAACAACAGTCGTTGATAAATGGTATCGACACTCATTATCTAGAACTGTAAGAAGCTGTAAAATCTTAATGAAAATATTTATAGAATCTTCGCGTACACGAATAACAAAACTCAGTCTAAAAATTATTCTGTTAATTGAGATTACCTGGACCTTATAGAGGACATATAAATATTCAATCTAATCGTAGTAACCAGTATATATAAGAAATATATAATTGTTCCTAAACTATAGATATAGATATGTTCTAAATATTTTTTTTGAGAAGGAAGAAATTTTACAATAATATATAAACATGAAAAATTTCTATAGTCGTTATTCACAATAATTTATTATGACAATATATACAGCGTTTTGATAAATAAAAAAACACATAGTAAATAACGACAGTGAAATAAAATTTTCAAGAAACTTATGTACGAATTTGTACATTTAAAGTAATAAGCAATATTCATGATAGATCATATAGAAATAAGACCATTATGTTTCAAAAACTATATGAATAAAAGGAAAAATGGAATAATATAGAAGAAAGACAGCATAATTCGGAAATGTAAATAAATTTACAAATATGAAAAGTAAAACGCCAATAACAAAACGTTTACTGAAGATAATTACACAAAAACTAGTCAAAACAATATTGAATACAAAAAAAATAATATGAGATTAATCGATGATTATCCTTGGTTTACGTCTTCGTTTAGCAGGTAAATCAGTCTCATATATGGTGGAATTTTCTTTTTGAAGATCTTCGATTTCTTTTCTTTTATGTGTTACTGATTTTCGTACTTCCTCCTTTTGTTGCTCTTGAAACTGATCAATTTCTGCAAAAAATGGTAGCGAGTGATTGATAAATCTATACACAAAAAAATCCAACGCTTACCACGATTCGATATGGTTTTCAATAATTCATTTGTAATATACATGTACTTCTTATTAATTGTAATATTATCTTTAAACCATTCGTCGTTTTCAAAATATTTCACTAATAAATCATTGAATAAGTAAGATTGATTAACCGATTTTGCATCAATCTGACGTTTATCAGGTGGATTTGGATTCAAAGAAATTTTATATTCTTCAATATCAATGCCAAACTCTGCTAGACCCAAAGCAACGAAAGGATTAGCTGGACTACTTTTGACATAACCGGCAATAGGAGATCCTTTTGCATTTCGAAACCAATCACCTTTCACCAGTATTTTTTTGTATACGAGGAAATCAATGAGTTTTAATCGACATTCTCCATCAAATAAACTGGATGGTAACATTCGAAACATGTCGGTTGATGTACCAACAACAAACTGACGCTTGATAATGATTGATTTCCAAATAGTTGAAGATTTAGGATTAAGAATAAGATTGTTGACTTCTAAAAATATATAAGTTTTACTTATTCAAAAACAAACAAAAAATGAAGAACTCTGTTTATCATATATCTATCACCAATTTTCATCTCCTCTGGTAAAAATGTGAAACTAGTACTACAAAAGAAAAGTAAAGACATTCTGATCAACAATTTACGCCTTACAGCTAACTAATATAATGTTACGATTTTATTTTATCATATCAATAAGTGTCTGATGTTAGGCATTATTCATTAAAGAAAATCCAAACTTATATTGCTTAGCAAATTTATACACTAACATAAATTCAACGTAAGTCCCTATCTCAATATTTATACGATCAATAAAATATTGTAATCTGAAACAAATAAGCTAAAAGCTGAGTTACTCTATTCAAACTTTTCATGTTTTAGTTTCTTAATTATTGCTACATAGATTAATATGTTGGATGTCACATAATTATGTTGCACTTTTTTATATTACAAAATGTTCAGTTGAGAAACTTCATCGATTAGCATCTTGAATCAAATAATTTAATTTCGCAGAAATAACTGCGTTCTGTTATGTAAATTAAACATCTTTGGTAATTGAAAACGATATTTTGATATTCATTAGTACAGCTACAACCGAATGAAATAAATGGTTCTTTTTCTTTATCTAATTTTCTCAATATTTTCTGTATTATTTCCACTTGAAATATGACACCAAAGATTTTACCTTCTGATGACCATTTTTGTGATGTTGAACGTGCCGAACGTGGACGACCTCGTTTTCTATTGATCGAAGAAGTTTGATTATCCAAGACTAAAAGAATCAAGCGTAGAGTAAAAGTAATTTACTATGCACATCTATCTCAAACTATATCTTAAAATGAAATATATTACAATAGTTAATAGTAGGATTGGGCATCACAAATTTATACTTGTTTACGTGAATGTTATAATAGATCATAATTCGTCAAGAGGAACTGATGATCTCACAGGAAAAGAATGCAATGTAAGACAATACTATTGCATACTATTAACACTAAATACGTATGATTGTTAACAGACATGTGTGAAAGTAAAGTTTTCTATGTAAATTGAATTTGTCTGGACTAGAGTTTCATTCGATTCAATAAAACTCACTTCTCAATATCTGAATTAATTCGAGTCGGTTCAAACTTAAATCACTACTCTTACATATACAGTAAATGATAATACCAATGATAATTGAATGCTTAAAATGGCTCAATTAAATTTCATTTGATCTAATAACAAATAATATTCATTCGGATAATGATTTGAATTTGACTACATGATTTTTACATTCATTTCGATTCCGTTTCTGTTAGATACGACTAAATCATTTTTGTAATATTAATATAAATAAAAATTGTATCTTTGATAATCTACTCATTTGAATAACAGCATAGATTAAGAGTAAAGATGCAGATGATTTATAAATATAAGTTTTTACACTTGCCTGCTGAAGGTATTTCAACATTACTTGGAAGATCTGTTAATATATTATGATGTGAAAATGTTGGTTCAATAGTTGAAGAACATTCATCTGTAAAATAATTGAATATAGAAATGATTATGAAATAAATTTTTGAACCAGACAGTGAAAAACTATATGATAATAAACTCAAATTATAAACGTTGCTAGTTGGTAAAATCTAGCTCAATGAAGATAGTTAGTATACAAGTATAGAAAATAATATTCTCATAAAGAAGAACTTATAGCATTGTCGAATGAAGGATCAATAGTCTCCAAAAACTGTTTCTTCTCAAAAAGACATGTTTCAACTTTGAAAATGAGAAACTCTGGTGAGCTATTATAAGAAAATATATTTAGCGCAATTCACAATTGCATCATAAAGCAATAATTGTTGTGCCCTTCCTTTTCTTTACCTGTTACCATATTTATATCTAATTGTTGAATATTATCAGCAGGTTCAAGTTCACGAAGAAGTACATCATCATCGAACACTTAAAAAACAGAAAATATGAAAGAAAATAATAAGATCTAATAAAAAAAGTTCAATGCGTTGTATCATATTGAATAAACGTGTTGATATAGTAAAAAACAATAATTGAAATAAATTTACCACATTGATGTTCAATGTTATTTAGATTCTTCATGATTTTTTCTATAACATCAGTCACGATATCTAAATATATTATATTCATCGAGTAAGTTCAATTGATAAAAAGATTAACCTGAAGTTGATGAACCATCGATTATTATTGATGAGTTTGTTTCTATGTGCACAGGAGATGAATAAGAAGAAGTTTGATGATCAACAACACCTATATGATGACACAGTTTTAGGCAAATATAAATGTTTTGTTCAAAATACAGAAATGAATAGTATATAGAATAAATTGCTTCATCATTAGCAAATTTCGTTTCTAGAATCAAAAATATCTGGTAATTACAGTTTATTTCTTCAAATCTTTACACGAACTTCTATCATATTGTACATGAACAAATAGCTTCGAATAAGATATTCACTTACGTTGTTTTGGAGATGAAATCGATTTTAATAATAACTCAGAACAATCCATTTGACTATGTTCAGTTTCATCAATCAAATCATTGCTACTTGAATCTAAAATAAGTGTAGCTATTCAATACTTGCAATGATTTTTTTAGGGTACCATAATAAATGGTATTTATGTGTAAATTTATAATTCTACATGACAAAAAGTTTATGTTGCTACTCTATATTTCTTTATTATCATAGTTATTTTAAATATTCATTCTTTAATTGATCTAAATGATAAATTATACAAAGACTTTAATTGAATGAATTGAGTTACTATTTGATGAGAGACTCAATCAAAACATAGAACAATAGTATCTTTTACATCATTGAGAAAAAGCGAAGAAATTCGAAATTTAACGTTGTTAAATACATAGTTATTAAGATTTGGGAGTTAATTAATTAAATTATTCTCTGACCTTTCAATGATAATTCATATGTAATCCCACAATGAGAAGACGAGGTTGTTTCATTTGGTGGTAATAATGGCATACTGGAATCAGTACTTTTGCTTAAGTCTAAATCAGATGAAGTATCTTGTTCTTTTTCTGTTTGATTATTGGCAGCAGCAATACCACATAGTTGATAATTCATTTCAATGACATCTTGATCACAAGTTTGAATTTGTGTATCTATAAAAATAGCTATAACATGTTTTTTTTCAAAAAAGAATAGTTTGAAAACAGCTCAAGAAGAAGAAGAAGACGTAATTCATACTTTGTCATATTTCATATTTTCTAGTACTTGATGATACTTTGCGATACTGCCTCATACTTCTCCACTTCTGCACGTTTTAGTACTACTGAAATACGCCTTTTTACAATAAAACAATCTTTAGTCAAACATCAAAAATATATCCTAGTAGAATAATAATGAAAAAGATTTTTAGATTGCAGAAACGTTGTAACAATATTGATGCCATATTAAGATATTAACGTTGGTTGATGCTAGTAGGTCTTGATATTGGTATCTCATCTCAAATATAATGTTCGAACGTTTTAAAAATTAATTACAGTAATACCAATACTAATATTGATACTAATACGAATGAATATTAATCGATGTAAAGTTGTAATCTTATTAGTAATATTGGTACTGTTATAACTCTGTATCTGTATTACTACTCACACATTATAAAAAAAAACTAACTGCAGTCCAACCCAACTATCACAATCTAAACAATAAGTATTTCCAGAAACTGGTCATATAGATTCTGAACAATAAAAAATCACAGTTGTTATTCGGTTTGATCTCACAAGATTTGGGTGAGGGTGAAAATTGAATTTCTAAGTTCTGTTGTTGGTAAATTCTCAGAGCATTTTCAAGCGTTTATATAATATATTCTGAATAGTCTTCGAAAATACTTATTTTTATTCAGAAGATAACGCGCTCTAATCGTTCTTAGAACGAAATTTTAACCGACGACTCTTACCAATTTTATAGGATATCGAATTAAATAGCTAACAGTAGAAGATATATATTTACTAGAAATATTTTCGTACAAATCACAGTCTACATAACCTTCAATCTTTAATAGAGTGTTAGATTATTTGTTTCTTCTTTCTATTTTCTGTCAGTAATGGTTTCGTCTCCTGAAGTCAGATCATGTTGGAGAAATAAGAAACGGAAACTATATAGTTTAAATGAAACACAGAATAAAATTTTCGGAATATTACCTGTTAAATTATTCACTGAAGACTGAAGACCTGTTTCTTGATTTGTTTTCGTATGAGATGATGGTGTATTCATAGATGTTGTTAAATCAGATCTTTTAGAATATTTACCGCTCAATGTAAAAATGCCATCAGTAGAAATATTTCCTTTTTGATAATACATGACAAGAACATCATCGTTTGAAACGGGTTTATCTAAATCAAAAGAAATAACAAGATTATAATTATTATAAATTCTTTTTATTAATGAAACTTAGTTCAAACCTTCAAGTTGCACGATCTCTCCAGATTGAACTCGTTGATCAACCATTTGACGAAAAGAATTAAAAATGATGTCTTTTTTGTAATAGTTATGGTAATATTGAACAAATTCGCCATGTTCTTTCATGAAATTAATAGCATCATCAGTGAAAATCATGCCTAATGGCAATCGTTGATGTTCAAATGTTGCTTGATATTTTTCCATATTCAAACCTAAATCCTAAAAAGATAATTAATTCTTAGTTACGATACAAATCACATACAGTTAGGGTGAACTCTATTTTACTCAAAGTTTTGTTTTTCTACGTGTTTCCTATAAAATTCGAAATTCCGATATAAAAATTGAATCGAAGAATAAGTTTAGAATCAAAGTTATATACATATTAATAATGTCAGATTACTTCCTTATATCTTTTAATTCTCTCTTGATACTTAATCTGAAAAGAAACTAGGAAATATTGCTAATATTGAGGGACTAATAATCTCAATACAATCTTTTAATACATGTTTTCAACGTGCCCATTGATACATAGAAGAATATACAAATGCCACTTAAAGCTTTTCATATAAAGAAGAATATTTGTTAATATTGCGAAAAAAAAAGAAAACAATACTTACTTCAAAACTCTTTTTTATTCGAGGATTGTCGTTAATCACTGATGGAAGTTGTTTACAAAAAGATGCATATTGCAAGCCGGTATTCGGAACACGTCCATTTTTAATGAAATTGCCACCAATAATTAGACCATTTTCAATTAATGGTAAAAGAATTTCTTCAGGCTTTAGATCATATGAATGTGAGAATTGACCAGATCCTTCACCTTTCGTCGTATTAGTCATGTATTGTCTTGTAAAGAACACGACAGAAAATTCCATAACCTTTACCATTGCCTTTTCTAGTTTAATTTCTTCTGGAAATCTTAAAAGAAAGTAGGATAGGATAAAACACTGCATTATTTTTCTTTTTTTTTCATTCATATATATTCTGACACTACAAAGGATAGAATGAATATTGAAAATAATTGTTCAAGATTTCTTCTATCGCAAGTATTGTTATCTGGTCAACAACTGAAAGTCTGTTTTTCTTTTCTTAACACTCATCATCAACTAGTTTTTCTTCTTTCTTCTCCTTTAAAAATACTCACATATAGTCAAAAATAAATGTAATGATTAATGTATACCTTTAAGTATACGTGTATATATAAAACAAGAAAGTCTATAAGTCTAACGATGAAAGGGAAGAAAAGAAACAGAAAATGATATTTCAATAATGTATGGACAACAAATCATCTGATGCTACCAGCACATACCATAACATTATTTGAAAATAAACGAAAAAAAAAATCATGTGAACTCAAATCTTCAAATTTTTTCATTTGCTCTGGTAAGTAGAAAACAACATACTTGTTGTGAGAGACAACGTTTCCAATTCTTGAATTAACAACTTCATTTAATTGTTTCAATGTAAGAAGTGTATCAAGTATTAACATTTTTCTTAAATACCAATGATATCCTACATCAATGTCATAGATGGTAGACGTAAGAATATATTGATTTTGTTGTACATGTTGACATTTGGTTGAAACAAATTCTTTCACTAATGACTGAATAGAAGTTTGAAATTTGTCATTAATTGAATTAAAATTAGTTGTTAATTGATCGCCTTGTCGTTGATCGATGTTTTTTAAATCTTTACTCATCAACTGGAAAATTATACGAATTATCTTCATCGACCAAATGCATTTAGACAACATTTCTATCACTTTTCGATGCATGGATTGTAAATGATGTTCCGAAGTGTTTGAACCTTTCCACCAGTCACGCACCAATACATCGAATAATTTGAATGGTGAAATATCATTATCGATATTTTCAACTGAATTACATGTCGTAATATTATCATAAAGATCACCTTCATTGATAGAAATATTATATGTAGCAGGTTTGGTAATACCTTGTTTTTGTAATTCATCTAATAAACGTTGTTCAACTTCAAAATCTATTTATTAAATCAAACAAATTTAGAGTCAAAACATTAATCAGACATTTATCATTAATATGCTTATTCTCATGAACATAAGTCGCTTTTTATGATTAACTCTTGAAAATAATCTCACTGACACGTCTAGAAACACAGATATTTCACTTGTCTTTATGTAATGTTGATGTTTCTATACGAGAAAACGTGCCTTTTTAATAGTCAGTATAAAATATAAATGACTCGATATAGTTTCGAAAAAATCTGTGTTAATTGATTTCAAAGCAAGTGTTAAAAATGAATCAGAAAACTATTAGAACAGCTGGATATAATGTAGACAACAAGTCCTTGTTAACATACGATCTCGTCCGATAACATTTTAATCTAATTCATTCGATACAAGTTATAAACTGAAAAAAATTGCAAAGTTACGTACTTTCTATATTCACATCTGTACAATCAGATTTATGACGTAAATGACGAAATTCAAAATTGTAATTAAACAATGTTGCCACAGCATATGCAAAATGACAATATGATGGAACATTTGTAAAGCTTGTCGCTCTTTCAATTGGCAATTCATCGATACTTCGGCACCATGTAAAGAAAATTCTACCATACACCCCATCTTGCTCTTTAGATTCATGAAAATGCTGCAACATTGATGAAAATTTACATCCTGTACTAGCGATAAACATATTCATGAGGGCCACAGGACGAGTTATTTTTAATTGTGATACGCCAGTACCTCTTATATAACCACACCGTATCCCATCCGAAGCATCACAAAAAAGAGAGACACCTGATGCTGCTTCAGGTTTCCCTTGGTCGTAGTATCCCAGTTTTTTTAATGAACCATCACCATCAGGATGGAGCAACATCGTGTTCACTTTAGATAAGGATTGGATTAAACCCACTTCAGTTACGTTCGACATTAACATCGAATATTGGTCAGTATTTGATTTATTTTGTTTTGTGTAAGTGTTGTCATCATTGATAATGCTTGATTCTTTTCCTAATGATGAATATCGACCGGGAAACGATTGTATCACATAATTTAATGCTGATGCAACCTTCTGACAAATTGTACTTTTGTTCGACGCTGAAAGTACAATAATACAATTCAAATAATATACAACAGAATCAACTTTCAACAACGTCGGATTTTATACTTCAGTTTTGGTACGTAACGCATCACTTTCACTATCGTAGAATTAAGAAAAACTCGACTATCAATATTATTGCTGTATAGAAAATAGTATAAAATGAATAGAAATGCTTCTTCATTCTAAGAATACTCGGGTTTCCACAAACCCATCAGTCATTATTGAGATACAATAGAAATTAGGAATGCATGATATTGATTTGGGTATTACAAACTCATGATTATGTCGCCTTAATTAAACTCAAATATTATGTAAAAATAATCTTTTCAAATCATATTATTTGTTTTGGTTCAATATTTCAAGATGTTGACTGTAAATATCTATAGATTGTTTAATCTAATGTAGCACATATTTATACAAAAGCAAAGAGCAGACATCTATTCTCAAATTTTTATTCGTTTCCTCATTATCGTGTCTATATGTTGATTTTCGCCTAACTGAAAAACCATCAAGTCAACTAAATCCAAATTTTTAAAAAGACATGACATCGTATTGAAAGAAAAATTATTTTTTACGGAAGAATAAAATCTATAAACTATCTACTTATTTAGAAAGCTTATAAAATAGCAATACAACATCACTACCTACAGTTTAGACTATTATTTCTTTATGAATGATGAATCGAAACACACCATTCGATTATAAGAATCAAGAAAAAACTTGATGTTTAGTTTCATAAACTTTTGTATAATAACTGCAAGATAAACCTTAAAATCAGACTTTAACGAAAAAATATCTCATTGCGCCTAACACATTGTACCAAATATTTATTCATAACACGCTTATTAAATTTAGATGAACTATTTTAGATTCAGTATTTACCGCTTCGCCCTATAATATGATGATTTTGATTCAAAAATCCAACTTTTTTGTTTATATGATTATGATAAAACGAATTATCAGCTAGCACGCCAACAATAGAATGTAATGCAGCAAGAGTTAGCTCATAAGAATTTCCATTACGATTTTGCTCTCTTAAAAAGCATAACAAATACCAGTCCTCATCTTCATTTATGAAATTAATATTAAATTTTGGAAGAACATTCAGCTTTTTGAAGTTTTCTTGAAGCAATACTGAAAAATCGGAAGGAATAGGCTTCGATGAAGAACGATTGGTTGACATAAAATATTGATATAATTGATAAAATAGTAATCTAAAACATATGCATGTTCGTTATAAAAAAGATAGAAAATATTGTTCTTGTCTAAAGAAAGGATTATCACCTAAGAAAGATTGCAACAGTTAGATATTCATAACCTAATTCATTCTACCATTTTATTAAAAAGAATGATATATATATACATGAACGAACTTGGAAATATCATGAACAAAAAGAAAAGTATTCAATTCCTATCAAAAGAGAGAAAGATAAATGGAAAATACCAATGCATTTAAAATGAATCAAGAAAATGACAAAGATATGGAATATGCCACTGTTAACGAATGAATCAGTTTAGCTGATCGGAACTACTAGTATAACGTTTGCTTGATTTTCCAAACGGGTACACGAAACATAGTGACTGAATTAGAAAAAGTTCAAACTAATAGTGAAAGAGATAAAAAAAAGGGAAAACACGTGAAAAGCATTAATAGAAAATGTTTGCAAAATAACGAATAGATGAACAGAAGAAAGAGACAGGAAAAATCCTATATATATACAGTAAAACCTGTCTAATCTGAACACCGTCGGTCGCCGCCAAAAGTGTTCAGTATAACAGGGTGTTCGTAAAGGAGGGGTGTAAGCAATATTAGATCAAAACTTTATTTTGATGATTTAACTACAACTTTAAAGTGAATTAACTTAGTTTATTCAATCATATAATATTCACATAGTAGATTTGTAAAAGAATCCTAAGCACCAGATTTACGATCTAGTCGGTTGAAAAAAATCTAGAATAGACATCTGTTAGAATTGTTTGAATCCAAATAAATATTTCTATTTCGACTATTTTCGTAATCACTCATTTATTCCGCTTTTCTTTTTATTACATTTGAAATAGCACTAATGTATATATGAAATTTATCTCGTAATGCACGATAAGTTAAACCAGCTTCATTTAATTTAATAACATTAATTTTCTCTTCTAATGTAAGATCATTACGAGCAGTCATAATTGAGCAAAAATTCAATTGCACTGTACTTATTACAAATGTGTTTGTTTTTTCATTGTTTTCTCTTCTTTCTCTCTTTATGTATAATGATTAAGTCGAACTATAGAGCCAATGAGCTATTCGATGCATACCTCTTTCAGTCCAATCATACGAATTTGTATGGCGGCGCTCTCTATAGATGTTCATATTAATCAGGTAACGTGTACAAATATGACTAAAAAAAGCGTTCACATTCAGAACCAAGGTGGGTTCATAAAGGAGGGGTGTTCATACAGAGAGGTTTTACTGTATGTATGTTGCATGTGTCATCTATATGATACAAGAGAAAGAAAAAAAAAGATATATGTCGGTGATATTGTAACAACCATGAAATCAAAAACAAAAGAAACCGTATTTATGTCATTTATGCATGACAAAAGAAGAGAAAAAGTAAAACTATATGAAGACATAAGATCATATATTGTATCTTACTAATTCGTGATTCGATATTTCAGTAAAGTTATAGATAGAACTGTACTATTATGAATAAATCACGGATTTAATTTAAGCTGAATGATTTGATCCTTTCTATCTATTAAGTTTATGATAAGTAGAAAAGAATTAAACACTTATTTCAGAAGGTTTTGTAAACAAAGCAACAAAAGAAAAATCAATAAAATAAGATCGACCTAGAAAAAAAATATATTTCATCGTTCCAGAACATAATTCAACTGGACCAAGTATGTAGTGATTTCGCTTCATAATTTAATTTTCATCTCAGCAAATTATAAATGAAAAATGCCACATAAAGTTGATTATATACAATGAACTATATCAAAAAATGAAACTTCCTAAAGAAATTACTTTCAGATCTCTGAACAAGTTTATTTGTATCTTGAAGATGATCTAACGAGGGAACATCCCCAACTGTCTGAGCGCTTTGGAGTTCGGACTCCGCCTAAAAGGTAGGTCCCAATGAGGTATGAAAAACCCCAAAATGATAAGTGCCCATAGGCCTTCTGTCCAGCGTTATAGGCATTTTACTGAAATTTTAGCCTATGATAGGGTATATATAAGTGCATCGAATGACGTTATTTCGACCTGAGATTTTGCCCATAGGGAGGTCTATTGGTGACTAGAATACCCTGAAAATTTCAGCTAAAAAGAATGTTTCATTCTTGAGATATTAAAGTCTCAAAAAAT